ATCTGAATCTGATCAGTTTGAGTATTTTTTGTTGCATTGTTGATTTTAAAAACTCCACTTCTTGGGGTGTCTGGGTGGCTCAGTCAGTTAAGCGTCCAACTTTGGTTCAGGTCATGATCTCACAGTTCGTGAGTTTGAGCCCCACATGGGGTTCTCTGCTGTCCGTGCAGAGCCTGATTTAGATCCTTTGTCTCCCTCTCTCTCTGCTCCTGCCCTGCTTGCACATGCACTCTCTCTCTCTCTCAAAAATAAATAGATATTAAAAAAGGGGGGGTGGGGATTTCTCTAAAAAAAAAATAAAAACTCCATTTCTAGAGATATTTTGTAGCTATTTATGATATGGACTTCAGCATTTTCCTCCAGTTTGTCTTTTGTTTTGGCTGAAGGTGTGAGTTGTCTTGTAGAATTTACCTCTGTGTAGCCAAACTCAATCTATTTTCATTATGGCTTCATGGTTTTAAGTCCTAGTTAGAAAAGTCAGCCCTATGTTACAAAGGTGTTACAACTATTACTATGTAAGGACAACACTAAAATTTAGGGCTTAAGACAATTTTATCATCATCCCTCGCAGTTGTGTGGGTCGACTGAGCTCAGCTGAATAGTTCTCCCTTGAAGTGTGAAGGCTCCGTGATGGCTCAATCATGTAACTGCAGTTGATGTTTGCTGCTGGTTAGTGTAGCTAGGGCTACTGACCAGAATACCTCCATGAGGCCCCTCAGTGTGGCTTTGAGGTTTTTGCAGCATGGAAGTGGGATTCAAAGAGTAGAAACTGTAAGGATTGAACTAGTTTGAAACTGAACTAGCATCAGAAGTCCTGTAATATCACTTCTCCTAGATTCTCTTGATCGAGCAAATCACTAAGGCCAATCCAGATCCATGTGGAGGGTAAATAGACCACACACACGAAGGAATTGATGATGTCCATCTTGGGAGACTATTTTCACAGTTCACCCTCTTGACAACAAACTTCATGTCCATCCCATGTGAAACATACATTCATCCCCAAGACTCCCAAATTCTTAGCCCATTAATGAATGCATTGGCTCAAGGTTCAGAATCTTGTTATCTAAACCATGTCAAAGTATGGATGATTCTTTATATGAAGACTTGAGAGCTAAAGACATGTTATCTAACACTCAATGTTGATTTAGGGATAAAATAACCACAATGAAGGCTTCTATTTTTAAAAAAGTAGAGCAATAACAAATACACAGCAGGCACCAGTTCATATAAATTTTGAAATTCAGCTGGGCACATGCCATCAGTTCCTTAATTAATGTCCAGTACTGCTCCCTGGCAGTGATTCTCCATTGCTTTTATGTCTACACTGAGTTATTCTTCCATTTCTCTAAGAAATGGCCTATATTTGCAGTGTAGATTTATTTCTTAGCCTGCCTTTCTGCCCATAGAAAAGTAGGGATTTTTCTCTGTCCTTTTCAGACTAGTCTGGTGTTTCTATTACAAAATCATGGTTTTTCCATGTTTCTTACAGAAGTTCACTACGTTAGACAAAACCATATCTACAAGCTCTTCAAGTGAAGGCTCTCTCTGGTTTGGGTTGCCAGGGTGCTGTGGGATGATATCTTTAAAATTCATAGGAACCATTTTGTGTAGTTGAGAATCTAGGAGCTATACACTAATCCTTCTTAAGTCTTAAAAAAAAAGGGTTTATAGCTGCATCCTTCAGATGACCTTTAAGGTAAAGGTAGTCCTAGTAGCACTATTGTTGGGTCATAGGGTAGCTCTATTTTCAATTTTTTGAGGAACCTCCACACTAAAACAAATTGTGTGGAGGTTATAGTGTGGAGGTTCCTCAAAAAATTAAAAATAGAACTACCTTATGACCCAACAATAGTGCTACTAGGAATTTATCCAGAGGCTACAGGAGTGCTGATTCATCGGGGCACATGTACCCCAATGTTTATAGAGCGCTTTCAATAGCCAAATTATGGAAAGAGCCCAAATGTTCATCAAGTGATGAATGAATAAAGACGTGGTTTATATATACAATGCAATACTACTTGGCAATGAGAAAGAATGAAATCTTGCCATTTGTAACAACATGGATGGAACTGGAGGATATTATGCTAAGTGAAATAAGTCAGTCAGAGAAAGATATCATGTTTTCACTCATATATGGAACTTGAGAAACTTAACAGAAGACCATGGGGGAAGAGAAGGGGAAAAATAGTTTCAAACAGAGGGAGGCAAACCATAAGAGACTCTTAAAAACAGAGAACAAACTGAGGGTTGATGGGGGGGCAGAGGAGGGGGGAAATGGTGATGGGCGTCGAGAAGGGCACTTGTTGGGATGAGCACTGGGTGTTGTATGTTAGTGATGAATCATGAGAATCTGCCCCCAAAACCAAGAGCACAGTGTATACACACTATATGTTGGCTAACTTGACAATAAATTACATATATATATGTCATTTGTTTTGAACAAAATCACTTTGGACTGGAACACAGTGAAAGTATGGTTAAGAATCTTCAAATATGCCTGAGTATCTTTAACCTTGTGATGGGAGAGCTACTGAGTGTGTGTGGCTAAGGGACCTTGGACCAGTTCCTGGCTGGCTGGCATAGGGCCTGGGCCTAGGATGGAGGGCTGAAGAGAGTGTGTGGTTAACGGTCATTACACTATTGGAGCGAGCTGATGAGGTGGTGTGGCTGGAGATCATCCATGTTCTTAGTGGTCTGATAGGAATGTGACTGGAGATCCCAGGCTCTAAGATGAGAGAACTGGTTGGTCATGGCTGAAAGACCAGGCCTGGGGCCTGGAGTGCTGGCGACACTGTACTGTTGAAGGGACTCCATGGTGGGAGGACCAGGGACTAAATAATGCCTGAGAAAAAGCATTTAAGGTGGTTAGGGGCTGATTTAGCAACGGCAATAAAATAGACATTTGAGAGCTAGGAGGAGAGAAGCAGGAAAGGGAGCTATCACAGAAACCAAAGGAAGAGGATAGTTGCAAATAAAAGTGGACTACTAGTCCACTTTTTTTGGAAGACACCTGGAAGATTCCCCTCACCTGAAATCCCTGAATACCCTTCCTAGGTTTTCTCCCTATACAAAGGACTGGACTTTCCAGTAGATATTCCACTGATTGTCTTCCAGGGAATTGAAATCTTGTGGAAGAGTGGACTTCAGAGCAATCCCTGTCAAAATAACACCAGCATTCGTCACAGAGCTAGAATAAACAATCCTAAAATTTGTATGGAACCAGAAAGATCCTGAATAGCGAAAGCAATCTTGAAAAAGAAAACCAAAGCAGGAGGCATCACAATCCCAGACTTCAAGCTATACTACAAAGCTGTAATCATCAAGACAGTATGGTTCTGGTACAAAAACAGACAGTTGGATCAATGGAACAGAATAGAGAACCCAGAAATGAACCCACAAACGTATGGCCAACTAATCTTTGACAAAGCAGGAAAGAATATCTAATGGAATAAAGACAGTCTCTTCAGTAAGTGGTGCTGGGAAAACTGGACAGCAACATGCAGAAAACCTGGATCACTTTCTTACACCAGACACAAAAATAAACTCAAAATGGAAGAAAGGCCTAAACATAAGGCAGGAAGCCATCAAAATCTTTGAGGAGAAAGCAGGCAAAAACCTCTTTGGCCTGGGCTGCAGCAACCTCTTACTCAACATGTTTCTGGAGGCAAGGGAAACAAAAGCAAAAATGAACTATCGGGACCTCATCAAAATAAAAAGCTTCTGCACAGTGAAGGAAACAATCAGCAAAACTAAAAGGCAACCGACAGAATGGGAGAAGATATTCGCAAACAACGTATCAGATAAAGGGTTAGTATCCAAAATCTATAAAGAACTTATCAAACTCAACACCCAAAAAACAAATAATCCAGTGAAGAAATGGGCAAAAGACATGAATAGGCACTTCATGTCTATTCATGAAGACATGTAGACATCCAGATGGCCAACCGGCACATGAAAAATGCTCAACATCTCTCATCATCAGGGAACTACAAATCAAAACCATAAAGAGATACCACCTCACACCTGTCAAAATGGCTAACATTAACAACTCAGGCAACAACAGATGTTGGTGAGGATGTGGGGAAAGAGGATCTCTTTTGCATTGCTGATGGGAATGCAAGATGGTGCAGCCACTCTGGAAAACAGTGTGGAAGTTTCTGAAAAATTAAAAATAGAACTACCCTACAACCCAGAAATTGCACTACTAATTTATCCAAGGGATACAGGAATGCTGTGTTGTAGGGTCACACGCACCCCAATGTTTATAGCAGCACTATCAACAATAGCCAAAGTATGGAAAGAGCCCAAATGTCCATCGATGGATGAATGGATAAAGAAGATGTGGTATATATATACAATGGAGTATTACTCGGCAATCAAAGAGAATGAAATCTTGCCATTTGCAACTACGTGGATGGAACTGGAGGGTATTATGCTATGTGAAATTAGTCAGAGAAAGATTAATATCATATGGCTTCACTCATATGAGGACTTTAAGATACAAAACAGATGAACGTAAGGGAAGGGAAGCAAAAAGAATGTAAAACCAGGGAGGGGGATGAAACATAAAAGACTCATAAATACGGAGAACTAACAGAGGGTTACTGGAGGGAGTGGGGAATGGGCTAAATGGGTAAGGGGCCCTAAGGAATCTACTCCTGAAATCACTGTTGCACTATATGCTAACTAACTTGGATGTAAATTTAAAAAAAAAAAAACAAAAAAACAAAAAATGAGTGGACTTCGGAGTCCAAGGTATCTGCACCACTCCTTATTCCCTATCTTTACAGATGAGTGAATGAGGTGCGCAGTCAAGGTCACAGATTTGTAAAGAAGCAATGTTTATTAGAACAAAAGGTCACAAAACATGAAGACTTAGTGTGGAGAAAGTGAACTGAGTCAAATGTCCTTTGACCGCTTATGGAACGCATTTCTCTACTTCAATTCAAGGAAGTGTAACAATCTTGATTACTCAGTCCTCCTCACCATCTGCACTTTCAAAGAGAGTGTAAGAGGTCGGGAGACTGTCCGGAACAGGCCTCAGAGTCAGGCGTGAGTGGCGGTTTGTAGTGGACAGATTTCGTCCTCCTGTGTCGGCTGAGGTGGGACTTCTGGCTGAAGCCTTGGCCGCACATCTTGCACACATAAGGCTTCTCCCCCTGGTGTGTCATCTGATGTAAGACGAGGTGTGACTTCTGGATAAAGCCCTGGCCACACTCTCTGCACACGCAAGGCTTCTCTTCTGAATGTACCCGTTTATGTGTGATTAAAGCTGACTTGTTGCTAAAGCCTAGTCCACACTGCCTGCACATGTACGGCTTCTCCCTCGAGTGTTTCCTCTTGTGCCTGATGAGACCTGCCTGGTGACCGAAGCCTCGCCCACACTCCCTGCACACATACGGCTTTTCCCCTGAGTGTGTCCTCTGGTGTGCAACGAGGTTTGACTTCTGGCTGAAGCCTCGCCCGCACTCCTCACACACCATGGGCTTTTCCCCTGAGTGTGTCCTCTGGTGTCTGATGAGATTTGACTGCTGGCTGAAGCCTCGCCCACAATCCTTGCACACGATGGGCTTATCCCCTGAGTGTATGTTCTGGTGTCTGTTGAGGTGTGACTTCAGACTAAAGCCGCGCCCACACACCCCGCACACATAGGGCTTCTCCCCGGTGTGTGTCCGCCTGTGTGAGATGAGGGTTGAATTCTGGCTAAAGCTGTGTCCACACACTCCACACACGTAAGGCTTCTCTTTGGAGTGTGTCCTCTGGTGGTTGACAAGGGTCGTCCTCTGCCTAAAGCAGCGCCCGCACTCCTTGCAGGCGTAAGGTTTCTCCCCCGAGTGTGTTCTCTGGTGTGAGATGAGGTTCGACCGGTCACTGAAGCCCAGCCCACAATCACTGCACACAATGGTCTTCTCCTCTAAGTGTGTCCTCTGGTGTCTCACGACAGCAGACTTCTGGCTAAAGCCTTTCCCACACTCCCGGCACACGTAGGGCTTCTCCCCTGAGTGTGTCCTCCGGTGTATGATGAGGTTTGACTTCTGACTGAAGCCTCGCCCGCACTCACTGCACATATAAGGCTTTTCGCCCGAGTGAGTCCTCTCGTGTATGATAAGTGTTGACTTCCGGTTAAATCCTCGGCCACACTCCCTGCACACAATAGGTTTCTCCCCCGAGTGGGCCTTCTGGTGTCTGGCAAGGCTCTTCTTCAGACTGAAGCCCTTCTCACACACCCCACACACGTACGGCTTCTCCCCGGAGTGAATCCTCTGGTGACTGAGCAGGTTTGTCATTTTGCTGAAGCCCAGTCCACACTCTCTACAGTTGACCGTCCCAAATCCCAAGACTTCTATCCTCTTCAACAGTCTGTCCGCTTCCCCAGGGCTCCCCGCTGGAGCGGGGCTGGACTTGATTTCCACCCCTTTGATGCCACTCCTAGAGCTCACTGGCTGCCTCTGGGGTGCCCTGGAGAACGTTCCCGAAGTCCTTTTCTTTGTCTTGCCAAACAGAGGCTTGGGGCCTTCTCTCTCTTGGCCTTCTGCTTTATTACTCCAGGAATCTCGATCAGAGGCTGGTTGCTGCTGCTTCTGGTCCCCTGGGCAGGGGTCCCCTGGCTTGACAGGAGTTTCTGCACACAAGCACGTAAAGACCCAGGGGGGATGGTTACACAGCATGTGTTGCATGTGGAACTTCTGACTGGAAAAATCCGAAGGGCAGAAAGGACACAGGTGGAGTTCCGGCTTTGGTTCTGCTGCAGAGAGAGAAGTTGGAGTCAGAATTGAGATTCAGTGAGGCAGCCTGAGCAATTCTGCCTAGTCTGACGGGGAGACTTGATTCCCTGTGCTTCAAAATGCTTACAACTTGAGTGCTACCCGGTCAAGACTTCCTTTAAATCACCTACTTTTCCAGGCTCAGAAAACCCACATCCTGGGGTGCCTGGATGGCTCAATCAGTTAAGTGTCTGACTTCGGCTCTGGTCATGATCTCACGGTTCATGAGTTCAAGCCCTACATCGGGCTCTCTGCTGTCAGCACAGAGCCTGCTTTGGATCCTCTGTCTCCCTCTCTCTCTGCCCCTCCCCTTCTCTTGCATGTGTGCTCTCTCTCAAAAAGCAAAAAACAAAAAACAAAAGAAAACCTGCTACTCAGCCTCTTCTATGTGGCCAGCTATAAAATAGCACAGGTGGTTTTGGCTCTTTAATTTTTTATTAAAAATTTTTTTCTTTTTGGGGCACCTGGGTGGCTCAGTTGGTTGAGCGTCTGACTTTGG